TCCATTTATCTTCAAAAATCGATCTATATCAATTTCTTTCTGTGGCCCTTGTGTATATAATTGTTTAAAATACCTCTGGAAACAGTTTCTGATCTCGGCTGGGTTCTGTATATTCTTTCCTTCCACTTCTAAATTTATAATAGTATTTAGTTTTTGTCTTTTTTTCATTTGCCAAGCCAACAATTTCCCACATTTATTCGCTGATTCAAATGTTTTTTGTCTCATTTGTTTAATTTTCCATTCTATTTCCTGATTCATCATTTTCATATATTGTACTTGATATAACTTTATTTCTCTCAAGATCTCCTGCGACTTTGGTTTTGCTCTCAATTTCTTCTCACTTTCTTTTATTTTCTCCAAAATTTTGTCTTTCTTCTCATTTTGGCTTCTCTTCTTTATTGCATTCTGTTGTATCAGGAACCCTCTCATAACCGCTTTACTTGCGTCCCAGATTACTCTTTTTTTGACATTAGTGTTCATATTTGTCTCAAAATAGTCTCTCAAAGTTTTTTGGGCCTTCTTAATCACATCTTCATCTCTAAATAAGGTGTCATTCATCCTCCATCTGAAGGAGCCAGTTGATATTAGTTTCATCTCCATCCTTACAGCATTATGGTCGGAGCAGGTTTTTGGACAAATTTCCGCTTTCTTTATCTTTGGTGCCGTTCCTCTAGTTACCCATATTTGGTCGATTCTAGTCCATGTCATCTTGGCTTCAGAAAAGAAAGTTCCCTCTCTTCCCAAGGGATTCTTTGTTCTCCAAATGTCGACTAAGTCCAAGTTGTCTGTCATCTCAAAAAAATGTTTTCGGTAGTCTACCATCCTTGGTGACTACCTGTCTTTGTGCCTTATCCATGTTTGTAGATACCACTCCGTTCATATCCCCCATCAAAATCAGATTGTAATCCAAATAGTCCATGTAAGGTCTCATGCAACTTTTTAAAGAATTCAGATTTCCCCTCATTCGGTGCATAAACTCCTACTATCAAAAATTTCTCTCCTTGTATTTGAATTTCAATTGCCACAAATCTTCCTTGATCGTCTTTAAAGATAAATTTCGGTGATAATCTCTCCTTTGCATAAATCACTACTCCTCTTTTTTTAACTTTGTCAGATGAAATAAACTCCTGTCCCAATCTCTTATTAATCAATACTTTTCTATGTAGCCTTATCACGTGTGTTTCCTGTAAGCAAATCAAGTCCAATTGTTCCTTTTTTAGTAAATGAAAAACACTTTTCCTTTTCCGAGGAGAGTTGAGGCCATTACAATTCCAGCTTAATAGTTGCAGAGCCATGATGTAATTACTTTGCTTTACCTCCAACTGCACCAAGTGTTTGTTCTTGTTCTGTCGGTGGTGTCACTTTCTCTGAACCATGCAATCCAAATGATAAATTTGCTATGTCTAGTATTCCTCTTTCCAGTGCTCTTGGCTCTTCTCCAGATTCCACTTCTTTCTGTAAGTCTTCTCCGTGATCTTTCAGAAATCTATCTTTGTCGTCGACTGATCTTATTTTTATCTTTCTTCCTTTATATTTAAAAGACAGGCCTTGGGGAAATTCCCACCTAAAGATGATTCTATTGCTTCTCAACAGGGCAACCAGATCTCCGTAGTTAAACCTTAAATCCAAAAGATGTTTTGGAATGTCCTTAAATATCTCCACACTTGACTGATGTATTTCCAGAGTCTTTCGGAAATGCAGATTCAAGATTTTGTCTCTCTCCTCTTTTGTTCGAAGGGTAATCAAACAGTCTCTCACCTTGTTCTTCTTTCCTCCTCTTCCAAGCCTGAATGCACTCACTATCTTAAATTCTTCCTTCCCCAAATCCAGTTGCCAGAAGTCTGCAAATTCCTGCGTAAGAAAGTCAATCAAATTATCTTTCTCAAGTTCAGGTACGGCCCTGATTCTCAGATTCATTTGTTTCTCCTTCAATTCAATCATAGACAACATCAACCTGTGGTCCTCGAGTTGCCTATGTATCGGTGGTATCTTCTCTTCAGTAGCAGTTGCTATGTCCTTTGCTTCTTCAGCTGTCTTTCGGGTCAAAGTAGATTCCTGTAACAATTTCTCAATAGTCTCTGTGTTGGTGTTCACCTTCTGTCCCAAATTGTTAATACTTGTAGTATTTTGATCAATTTTAACTGATGCTTCAGCTACTTGTTTATTTGTTTCAGCTACTTGTTTACTTAGGTTTTCCAAAGATTCATTAATTTTTCCTAGTGCCAAAGCTAAAACGTCTTCAGACGACATTCCTTTTGGTTTAACTTGTACAGGTGCAGCCCCTGATAATCCAGATGGTCCAGACGGACCAGATGTTGATGCTCTCCGCTGCCACCCAGTATCTGTACGAAAGGATCTACCAGACCTCGTAGTTTTTTCCTGAAGCAACTCTAACTTTCCTCTTCCATCTGCCATAACACTCTAGTTAGAATCCAAGGTCAGTCCCGCGGCTAGGATTTGTTTTGAAGTGGAAAATCCCCCTGGCCCAGTTGTTATTGTAACAATGTCAAACCTCCTCTAGGGGGACACAGTAACAGTCCAAACTTGTAGCTTTAAAGAGAAAATAACCTTTTTAAATCCCCCAATTCACAAAGACGACAGTTTCAATTGCGCTTAATCTCCAGTTACTTTAAAACCAGGAGAAGTCCAGAAACACTGTATCTCTCTTGCAGAGTTAGCTGTCAACAGTACTCTATTTACCAGTAGTGCTTTTCACAGAACGGCATTCCTATTGTCCCTAGGCAGTCCGTTCCCAGGCTCTAAGCGGTGGATTTTAGCTTCCTTTCCTCTCTTTTTTTGCAGAAAAATACAGTTCAAACCTTTCCCCCCTCCCTTCCTGCAATCCGGACGGGAGATCGCTTATCTGATGTTAGGATTTGAGTCCTTTTTCAAACGTCTTTCAGAGTTTCTGCTTACAGTCTCTTTGCTTTGATCTGTTTACAAGAAACGGAAGGCGGACTTCCTGTTTATGCCTCCCCGCTTCGATACCGAATTAATTGTTTTTCTCCCTTTAAATCCAATTTTATCCTACTCACGGGTAGTTGCTTTTGAAACCAAATTGTCCCAGGAAAAAGTCAGCGCTCTCCAATAACGGCTGTGCGGCTTCACTCCGCGGAAGAAGCAGTCGACTCTCAGCACCGCGCCGCTCACCCCGTTTTGCTCCGGAGCCCGTAAATGGGTTCCTTCGCAAATTGGGGGGCGCAAAGGGTGCCTGCCGAGTCCCACGTTCACAGGCTTCACCCGCCTGTGATTTTTGAAGGGCCCCCGCTTCGCCGCAGCGGTAAGACCCGATCCCGCAGAGCTGGTCCCTCGGAAAGTCAGAGGGAATCCGCCATTACCGATGGCGCCAACCCGGAAGTCCCGATGGCGCCAACCCGGAATTCTATAGACAATCCAGATTGGAGGGTCCATTCGTGGTCAGGGAACTCTGGGCAATGTCACACTTAAGTAAATCTTAAGTAAATATCAATGGGTTGCATCCAATGCTAGTCCTACTCAGAATAGATCCATATAAATTAATGGACATGACTAATTTAGGTTTATTAATTTCAGTGGGTCTACTCTGAGTAGGATGGGGGTGGACCTTGGTAATATGGCATCCTGTCCGAGGCCAAAATTGGACACCTGCCCCCAGCCCTTCTGCTACCTTTCCAAAGCCAGGTAAGCAAGGCCCCGGGCTTTGGGAAGGAGGCGTGAAGTTCTGACAGGGTCCTAGAGCCCTCCCTCCTATTTCCCAAAGCTTTGGGAAGGAGGACTCTAGGATCCTGTCAGAATCTCAAGCCTCCTTCCCAAAGCCCAGCACTTACTAGACTTTGAGAAGAAGGCCCCTTGGCCCCTATGCCCTGTGCAGGGGAATCGGTTGGGCTGCCCTCAGTCCACCTGTGTGCAGAACCTAGGTGGCTAAGACCCTCTGGGTATGAGCTACTTGATTCCATTTACTTCAAAGAATCATATAATTGCAGAAGAGATGGAAGGGATCACCAGGATCTGAATGGTTTTGACTAATACAATGGTACCTTGGGTTAAGAACTTAATTCATTCTGGAGGTCTGTTCTTAACCTGAAACTGTTCTTAACCTGAGGTACCGCTTTAGCTAATGGGGCCTCCCGCTGCTGCTGTGCCACCGGAGCATGATTTCTGTTCTCATCCTGAAGCAAAGTTCTTAACCCAAAGTACTATTTCTGGGTTACCGGAGTCTGTAACCTGAAGCGTCTGTAACCCAAGGTACCACTGTATTGGATCTTATTTAATATTTCAAGACAATCTTCATGATATGTTTCAAAAGGATTTCAATACAGCAAAGATGGTTTCCAACTTTACAAAATAGGAAAGGCTTCATTTCCTATAGTGGCTCATAATGTGACTTTTACCATCACTAAAGCTTCTCAGCTTTAGTGCAACCAATTTTCTGCAGTAGATCTTTAATGTTTTGCAAATATGAGTTAGGCTGTGTACACACCAAACATCTGAAGCACATTTAAAGCATATGGCTTCCCCAAAGAATCAGGATGAGACTGTTGTTTAAGGGTCCTTGGGGTTGTAGCTCTAAGAGAAATAAAGTACAGTCCCAGGGGTCTTTGGGGAAAGCCATGCGCTTTATATGTGTGGTGTGTATGCAGCCCTGCAATGAAATCTTGAAGTTTGCCATACTCCTGTTCATGATTCTAGCCAGTCAAGCCTCCTTCCCTTTACAGGCAACTTCTGAAATGAAGAACTAACTTCTTGGCAATAAAATGACAACTTTGAATGCACGACAGGGCTAATGACATCCCCTGCGGCTTTCAGCTTCTCCACTGGCTTGTCTGCCACAACCCCTGCTTGGGCAGTTCCATCTGAAACCAATGCCTTGAACAGGAACATGTGGGCAGTGTCATTGTCACATGATGCCACAACCCAAGCAGCACAGTCTTTAGCATATGCGCCGCCGGGGTGTAAAGATCCGCCCAGCGCCCCCAAATTTAGTTTAGCCCCCAAACTAACTTTTATTATGCTTATGTCAGACACCACGCTTACGCCTTATCTCTTGTTTATGAAAGAAGGGAGGAAAAAGAAAGAAACTTTTTTATTTGCTCAACCACCACACTTAAACTTTTAAGTATTGTTTAGGCACCTACTTAGGAGAAACATCAGTCATGTCAAAGGTGCTGCTGACCCTGCTGCCACATAGCAGCGCAGCTCAATGCAATACGTAACATGATATTTTGATGTAAAAGTTCCTTTCGCGTGCACAGCGCTGTTGTGAATGACACGTGCCGCCGCTGGCGCAGAGCGTCTTTGCTAAATGAGCGCACAAAGTCAAAAGTCCTTTAGTGAAACAGTAGGTATACATTTCGGTAATACCTAGGTATATATGCATTTTGTTTTTCTAGCTCGATCAAAATTATTTATTATTTCATAACAGGTAGATAGTTAGCTTAGGCAGCTTCAGCAGTGAATGCCTGGCGCCCCCCAGAATTTGGCACCTGGGTGCCCTCACCCCTTGCACCCCCAGGTAAAGACGGCCATGAACCCAAGACAGTGGGCGCTCCTAGGCAAACCTTTGCCATCTTGGGGTGGGGTTGTGCCACATGCTGAAACATTCATGTTCCGCAACCTATTTTAACAAAATGTATATACTGCTTGGCTGTATTAAAAGCCTCTAGCCACTTTACAAGAAATGTTTTCAGTAAAAACAGTTGCAAACATTTAAAAATAATTAAAAGTAAAAGAAGAAAAAGCTTTCTTCTTTTTCTTTCAAGCTTTATGTGTCTGGGTAGGCTTGCCTAAAAATGCTTTAAGCAGGTGCCGAAAAGAGTGTAGTGAAGATGCCTGCTTGATGTCAATAAAATTAAAGTGGATTTGGCAACAAAGCCATGCCCCTTGCCAACTGAACGTTTTGTGATAAGGTGAGTGATGGCATGCCTTCCAAGATTTCTCCAATGAAAATAGGGACATCCCATTCCATAATGATAATTTTACTATTTATATCCCACGCATCTGACTGGGTTGCCCCAGCCACTCTGGGCGGCTTCCAACATATATAAAAACATAATAAAACATTAAACATTTTTTTAAAAGCCTTCCTTAAATAGGATTGCCTTCAGACGGCTCAAGGATCAGATAATTTCATACCCTCCAACATTTCTCCAATTAAAATAGGGACATCCTAAGGAAAAGTGGGACATTCCCGGATCAAATGAGAAATTGGGACAGCTTCTCTAAATCAGGGGCATCCCTGGAAAATAGTTGGAGCGTCTGTGATGAGGAAATGCTGTGGAAAGTGTGGAAAAACACTTGATGCTCCCCCCACCAACTTCCCCACAAGCAAATCAGAATGAATACTCAAAGAGCAGACCATCTGGTAGTGACTTCAGTCTGTGGTCCAGATTAATTTCCTAGGCATTCAGAAAATTATTCTGCTTTTCCCAGATTATTTCCAGAGTGAATTTGGGGAATCCACTCATCACTGACTGCATAATTCCATGACTCCTCTTGGAGATCAGTTGCTTTTGAACAAACCAAAGAATGCGCTCTCTCTCTCTCTCTCTCTCTCTCTCTGTGTGTGTGTGTGTTTTAGAGAGGCCAAAACGGAATTAGTGATTCTGCATTTTCTAGAAACCAGTATTGCATTCTTAATATCTAAGTCTGAATGTTTAAGCAGAGGGGAGAGGTCTTTGCTTTCCAATCCACACAGACCCTAACTAGAAAGAGTTAGAAAGGGTTTGATTAAAAATCTCTCCTTCCCTGCAGATGAAACTTAATCTATCTAGCCAACTGAAGAAGAAATGAGCAATCACTAAACAGGTCTAAGCCAACACATCTGCCTGATGTTCAAGCAATTCCACAGATCCCTCCAATCTAATTCATTTTCTAGATTAGCAGGGAAAATCCATCACAAATATTATTTATGGGCTTGCAATAAATAACTCTTTGCAGAAGTTGCAATGTGTTCTTGTGAATTTCAGCAGGACTTTCAGCAAGTTGGAAAGGTCAGGTCATTCTGCGATACTAGCTCTATAGTGTTGGAGCCTTTCCCTCATCTGTTTCAAATTAAGGGTAATATTTGGTGTAACAGTGCTCTCAATGGGGGAGCTGTGCAGCAGGCCTGGGAGAGAGCCCCTGCACATTCCTCTTGGGGCTCTGGCACAGGCTGGGGTGGGGAGGGGAAGGGGACACAGGGCTCTGTAAACAAAGGTTGAATGGCATTTGTATTGGAGAAGCTATTCATTTTGCCTCTCTCTTCCCACTCTCCCTCTTTCATGTGCAACTAGGTTTCATCGTTTGGGGTTGGGTCTGTTGGAGGCTCTGTAAAGTGTAGATTCAGAGAGCCAGGAGCAAGGAAAATATGGATCCTGGGTTTATTTTAATGGCTGTTCATGAAGCAGAATGAAGTGGCAGAATTGTGGACTGCACCACCTACAGAGGTGGGAGGGTGAGCAATATTTGATAATGTTTCCCCACGTTAGAAAGCAACAAACAAAAACATCTTGCTGGACTCATTTTCTACATGCATGGCTTGTGTCTGTGAGCATTAAAAAAAAAAAAGCCATCCTCCCCCCCAGCTTGCAGTAGTCCAGTCCAGAATTTTACCACCTTGCCAGGCGACTTCATTTTGGTTGCTTCGACACTAAACTTAAACCCTATTATTTTCATAGTCGCATTTCCCCCCAAATAATCCTGGGAACTATAGTTCATCAAAAGTGCTGAGGGTTGTTAGAAGGCCTCATTCCCTTCACAGAGCTGCAGTTTCTCTCTTCACAGGGGATGCTGGTGAGGGGACTAGGGGTCTCCAAACAACTTTTAGCACTCTTCACAAACTGCAGTTCCCAGGATTCCTTGAAAGAAGCCATGACTCGGAAAGTGGCACAAGAGTGCTGCGCATGTATGGTGCAGACATGACCTGTGTGTTTGTGTGGACATAGGCATGTCTGGAGGCTGTCATGCTCATTTCCCACAATGCCCCTGATGTGGTGCAGCTCCAAGGCATCAAGGGAAATTAAAATGGCAGCTGCCAAGTCCCCACTAGTGGCCCCCATTTACAATGAAGTTTCCCACAATGCCCCAGAGCAATTTATATGAGGGACATTGTGGGAAATAAAAATGGCAGCTCTGACTCAGCTGCAGCAGGACCCAGGGCATAGTATCACAGAACTGTAGAGTTGGAGGGGATCCAGAGGCTCATCTAGTCCAACCTTCTGCAATGCAGGAATCTCAGCCGAAGCATCCATGACAGATGGCCATCCAGCCTCTACTTAAAAACCTCTAAAGAAGGAGAGTCCATCACCTCCCGAGGGAGACTGTTCTACAGTCAAACAGCATGTGTGTGCTCTGGACCAAGATGTCATGGGCCACATGCCCAGGAGCCCCAACCAGCATGGCCAATGGTCAGAGACAATGGGAGCCATAGCTCTCAACATCTAGAGGGCACCAGGTTGTCCTCCCCTTTCTAGACGTTGCCTGCAGATAGCGCATGCTGATGAACAGCCCCTGCCCTGGACTGAATTTCTGCAGAGGGCACTTCAAGGTCTAACTGGGGATGGAGAGTTCCCTTCCTGCCATCTCACTTGGGATTCTGCTTCTGTCTTATGAACAACAGCCGGTGTGCTCTGTAGACCCAGCCAATGCTCAGATTTTGAATGCATGTCCACAGAAGCCAACTTTCCCAGCTGTGTTCTATATCAGTGCTCAGTGCAGGAGCAGAGCAGAAATGCTGACTGGCGGGGGCTGGGGGGGGGGAAGGACCTCCCGGTAGGCTTAACAAGAGCCTCTTCATAATGTTCCATAGCCTGGCTGAGATTCAGGACCTCACAGAGGGTTTTGGGAAGGTGGTGCCGGCAGAGCTGGAAATGGATCTTCTTTTTCTCCAAGCAAACAAACAAAACATTTATCACAGATGGAAAGAGAGGGAGGGGATCCAGCTAACTAGCACAAACAAACCTTGGTGAGACAGGTGGATTTCCTAAGGAGGTACCCAGCATTCCCGATTCCCTGGTGACCTGCTGGAATGCGGAGTTAACCAGGGCTATTG